TCTACAAACTTTACTTAATAATCTAAAATAATTAACTTAATAAAAATTTTTAAAATATTAAAAATAAAAAAAATTTACTATCAAAGTTATATAAAAAATGATCTACATTGGACTTTACCCTTAAAAATAGACTTTTAATATATTTAATAAATTAAATATTATATTAACTCTTATATATAATTACAAATTTATAATTTAGATAAGTCTTGATTATTTTAATTAATTTAGATTATGAATTAATTAATTTAAGTTTCTATTCTTTCTAGAATATTTTAAAGATAAAATTATATTTTATATAAAATTCTAATTAAATATTTAATAAAAATAAAATTATAATCTCATTATTAATATTAAAAAAAACAAGTTTGTAAATAAATATAATTTATATAGCAAAATTTTTTTAAAAATATTTTTGTAAAAATTTAATATAAATATGTACTAATATAAAAAAATGTATTTTATTAAGTCAAGTAAGTTTATTAATTATATTGTTAGATTTGAAATTGAAGAAAAAGAATATTAACCCAAATTCAATATATTAAAAATAGATTTTAGTTTTTTTGAACTATCTAAATTAAAAGTTTAAGAACAAAATAAAAGTATACTTAAGTACTAAAATATGTTGTAAAATTAGTATTAATGTTTTAGATAAACTTCATAAGAACATAATCCTATTAATAAAATCATTAAGTTAGTTAACAAAAAAATCTCAGAACTTATTGTTAGATAATATATTCTAAAATAAGTAACATGTGTACAAGTTTAGAAAGAAAATGAAATCAAATATAAATAATTCACAATAAGAACAATATAAGATTAGTTTAATAATAAGATTAATTAGTATTATATAAATATTAAATTGAAGAAATAGAGAGTTTAAATAAGACACAAGTAAGAATCAGGTATAACATCTAGAAGGTAACCTTAGAACAGAATCTTTAAATAGACAATAACTAAAGTTGTGATTAGCTGTACTCTCACTATGAATGTACTTTAAGATAACACTAACAAATAAAGCCAATATGACCAAGTGATTAACTACTTGTTAAAAAAAAAATGCTAAATAAAAATAATTTACACTTTCTAATACAATTCTTTTTATAAATTTAAATATAAAAAAATAATTTGTATAAAATTTGTAGTACTTTAACAGGTTTAAAATTCAAATTCTACTAAATGCAAGTCATTAAACATCAATTAACTAAGTTAAAATATTTATTTATTTATATATAATTACAGTTGTATTGGTAAGAAAATATAATACGTATACACTAACCAAATTGGTTCGAATTCGGCAATAATGATGCATATCGAAGCGCGCACTTATAAAAGGTGCACTTCATTATATGGTCAAACTTTGAAAATTTAATCAGCTAAAATGTTCATTTTGGAATTTACTAAACAAGAAAACCTTAAGGAGGATATGCATCAAATGTATAACAAATATATCTTATATGGCTTGAAACTTTAGTTTTTATTATAATCATCAATCATTATATCAAGATTACAAAGATTCATGTTGACTAAATTATACGTATAACTGTTAATATATGTAGAAAAACAACATTTAATAAATTCTCTTAATATATGAATTACAATTATCATAATTTCAAATTGTTCATTTGCACATATAAAATACATTGGTTTCTTTGTCATCATTTAATCCTACTATTCTTATAAACCATTTTATGAACTAAAAATATTCTCTGCTACCAATAAATAATTTACCACTACCACAATTTAATTGTAAAATATTTTCTACAGAAACTTAAGAAATAACTTACCAAGACTGGTGATTTTCGAAGTAACCACAAAATAAATAAAGTTCTTGTAATTATAGCAATTATTATAGATTTTTGTAATGCTCTATAATAATCACTCCATCCATTTGCCCATATAGTTCTTGAAATTAAAATGATGATTTAAACCTCTTAAAATATAAAACCAAAAATCTTAAAATATCTAAACATTTAATCACCTTCTTGATGCAAAGTCTATCTGCTGTCTTCTGTAATTTCCTCGATTACTTTTCAGAAATAACCAACTAAAAAAATTAACGTCCCAATAATCAAATTTTGGTCTAAAAGCGTCTAATCTCCTGGGTGGAACTTCATCAGGCTTATACATCATATCTATCAAATCGCTAGTCATTTGTAGTGTAAGTCCCCATAACCGTAACGTTGTGACTGATCCAATCTGAGTATCTGGACGTGTTGACAATTTTTTTAAAGTTTCAATATCTGAGATAGCCCATGGTCGATTATTGTTCTTACCAGATATTGATGGCACGGTGGAATCTATTTGTGGTAAATCGATACAGTGAAAATGCATACGGCCAATAAATGTTTTTAACACACATTGAAGAATCCATGATTTTGGGGCAATTCGAGGTGATAAATCGATTGAAGCCGGATTCCATTTTTGAGTTATCTGGGGATCTAAAAATATAGAAAGTGGGACCCAATGGGTTGATTCCACTTCAGAGCCAGATATCTCAATTGGAGGAGTTTCTTGAATCAGTTGAAGAAAAACTGCACACAATTCACGTGAGAGTTGTCCCCATGGGAACTAATTAATATTATACTATGCAAGGAGTTTTAAATAATGATTTTAGGAATGCAATTACCATAAGGACAAAGAATCATTAATAATTGCTTTCCGAAAGTAGTGGTCACTTTACAATCATCTAAAGCTCCAACACACAAAAACAATTTACGGTCACCAAGATCTAATCCCACTGTTAGCAATAAAAACAGTTAAATGTATTGAACCATTAGAATGAATATACGAATTGTTAGATTATTAAATTTTTAATTTATTAGAATAATTCACATTTAATATTACCGTACCCTCCTCAAACGCTTCCCTTTCAGCCGTATCCAAATCGTCAGCATCCTTCGGATCTTGTTTTCCACCCGGAAAGGCCATTTGACCACTCCACCGATCACCCTCTCTTAAAGCCCGCTTTATGTACAAAATTTCAGGTTCACCACCTGTAACCCAAGGTAATTTCCAAAATTCTTCAAGAATTGTAGAAATTGCAGGTAGATTCCCATTAGATGATTCTATCAAATGATTTAGGGAAGATGAAATTGGTGCAGCGGATGATGATTGATCATGATAATTATGGGAGAAATGAGAAAGATTAGGCCTAATACGAATGATAATGGCAACGCTGGCTCTTCGTTGTTGATTTGGTGGAGAGGGAATTTTGTGAGCAGGAATTGATTCGAGATTTAGTAATGCAATTCGAAGACGATCTAATGAAGATAGTTCTTTGACAAAGTTGGATAAGGAAAAAGGTATGAATTCCAATTGTAGAACAACCATCATTTAAATTAAGGACATGAGTTTACCTGACGCCAGAGTATCCATTTTAAATGTTTGTCACAAAGCTAAAAGGCGAGAAAATTGGGTATTGAAAATTGAGCGTTAAACGCACTAATATTTATACGTATCAAGATTTACCATTTTAAATATTTGTGGGGTAAATAATCAATGCATTTTTACATAATATTGTTCAAAATTTAAAATTTTAAGATCCTGTTACTGACGTAGTTACGTAATAGTATATCGATATACAGTAACGGTAATTTTAAATTTTATACGGTAGATCATTTTATCACGTGTATTACAGAATTTGGCTTCATACTAATGCCTTAACCAATTTAATGGATAAGCCCCCATAACCGAAGATTCGGGTTTTGTAATTCCGCCTTTATTTTACTAATCCCATTCATATGTATGAAAACGTTATAAGTTTACAACTAATAAGGCGTTTAATTCATAAAATATTACAACAGATCATAGTAAAAATGAAATGCGAAAACGACTTAATATAAATTGTTTAATCCTGGTTCTATATGAATGGCAGCTGAAATTGTGAATCTAGAATTCATTCCAAAGGTAATTTCATATGATAATTACCACTAAAACGCTGATCTGCTAAAATGTGGTTCAAAAGATCAAATGAGTTAATAATGCTTAACAAATTTCATGATGACCATACATCAGGAGGATATTAATATCTTCTTCTCGGAGGACTTCGAGACCTCCTTCTGCCACCACGTCTATCAGGAGATCTTGATCGCGAGCGGTGATCACGAGTAGGTCGTCTATCACTGTAGATTAAAGAACAGTAATAAATATCACTAGGTCTTGTGAGAAGAAATAAACGACATAATCAACATACTAGTCAAATCTTCCACTACGGCCATGCCTGTCACGGTCATAACCACGATCCCTGTCACGATCTTGATAGCCTCGCCCTTCTCTCGAATCACTACGACGATCTTTATGTTTTTCCTTGAGTTCTTTCAATAAATCACGTATTTTTAAATATCCTAGATGCATCTAATTCAGGTGGTAAATTATATACAGAGTAAATCAAAAATAAGAAGAAATCTTTCAAAATAATTCTTTAATAAATACCTTTCCACCAAAATGATCTGCCAAACTATACAAAAAATATTAATTAATTCCAAGTGTAATAATATTTAATTGCTCACTATGATAGAAAAATAATTATACCGTCTATCCGAATCAAATATCGATAGATAGGCACTGCATACTTCACAAACTCGCAATTTTTGCTGCTGAGAAGGACCCCCACCCTCTGCAGAATTTTTAAGTTCTTTCTATATAATGATATAACACCATTAATATATATATATATGTATAATAAATAAGCTATCGCTCTACCTCTTTTTCGAGTTTCAATGTCTTCTTTGCTTCAACGTCCTGCAATAATTTCATCGATTCACTGACTTTGCCCTCTTCCCCTAAAATAAGCAAAAATACACAGATAACTTTTATATACCATTTTTATTCAAATCTCAAGGATTTAAATAAAAATTAGATAAACAATTTTACCAAGAACTTCTACTTCTTTAGTCATTTCTGATATTTCGGTTGATAGATTTTCAATTTCTCTTGTCTAGAGCAGAATATATGTATTAAGTAGAGTTCCTATCCATTATTCGTTTATCCATTTATCTATTGGATATTCAGATTTGAATTTATTCGGATATTATGCTTTACTATTGATATCCGGATAATTATCCGAATATTTGTTGGTTTATTCGGATATCAATAGTAAATGGATATTCGGATAAATTAAGAAATGGATAAATGGATTACGGATTTATAACGGATTTATCCGGATTGGAACTCTAATATTAAGCATTGATGTTAAACCAGATACCAGATTTTGATTAAACACTGCCTCACCAGTTGCGAGACCTTTGCACTATCCTCGGGAGTTTTATCTAAGCGTTTCTGTGCGCTCGCGATTTTTCGATCACAATCTGACACAAAATTGCTTAGATTACGTTCAAATTCTAAATCAAAATCGCACACTTTTTTTTGTTTTGCTTCTTCATATTCAGTTTTTAATCGTTCTGAATGGATTTTGGGACATGCCCCGAGATCCATTTTCTTATAATAGAAATGGTAAAAATTAAATTGAATCGCATCAAATAAAATTTTTTTATTTTTTTCATTATTTTTATTATTGTAATTTTAGCACAATAAATAAATAAAATAAATAAACACTTACTGTATTGCTGTATTATGCAAACAAAATTTAACATGGAACATAGTAAATATAGTGCTATGCGACTTTAAGCAAGAAAAAATTACTTAAGACTTACGTAAAAAGGTCGTGCGGACAAAGTCCACAAAGGTAATTGCGACATACTTTTTCATCGTCGTACCTCATATGATCTGGAACACCTCCTAAAGCTTCAGCTCCCATTAATGCCTTTGAAATTCATTTACAATATTTGACGATATTATGAAAATTCAGAAAACAATTGTGAATCTCAGACTTTAGAAGTACCTCTAAAGCTCTTCTTGCTTCTGCTGCCATCTTTGTTTAAGGTTTACCACTATGTTTGATAACTCAGTACCATAAAAAACAAATCAGTCGCCTCAACATTTTACACACTTAATTGTCGTCCAACACGTTATTTATTTAAAAAAATCTTAATCACATGATTAATTATTCGAGTTTTAAAATATGATTGGTCAATTGTCTATACTTTAGTAAAAAGAAAAATTAGTAACAAAGAAAAGTATAACAGGCTAAAACGGTTAAATTAAATATTATAGGTGCAAACGTTTGGGACGTCCATATGTTACTTAATGTTTTAATATATGTTACATGCAGCACTAGTAAATCTATTACATGTACGTACGTACGTACATGTTTATAAAAAGATAGAAGAGAGATAAAATGATGTATGTATGTACGTCAGGGACAGTGAAAAATATGTAAAAAAATATGTTATATGTAAATCACCACTTCGGGGTCGGTAAGTTTCATTCTGATTGGACGGAATTGGTTTTAAATTTTGGCCAGGATTTAGGGTCTACAGTTATCATAATTCCGGCTGATATTAATTCGGCCAGAATTTGCGGATCATAATGCTGGTCGACTTTACGTAATTCCGGCCAATCGCAGAATTTTTGAAAAATCATCTTTTTGTCACCGCAGAATATCATCGTCCCTGTCCCCGACGTACGTACAGTACGTAAGAACTAAGTCAGAATCAATTTTCAAGGTTTGCCCGCAGCATGATTTGTATATAAAGTAAAATTTGTGGCGAACTCGTGTTTTTTTTTAAGGCGTCGTTCATGAAAATTGCACTTGAAACGTATACCTTATGCAGATCATTTACACTTAATATAGAACTTCGGCAGTCGCAAAGGTATAGTACGTGGCGCGAATTATCTTCAACAAGCATTAAATACGCTAAGAACGCAAGCATGGCAAACAAAAAACAGCCAGAATGGCATGTTCCAATCTCTACTGAATCTCTACCTACTCTGAAAATTTACAATTCCCTTACAAGGACAAAGGTAATTAGCCGTTTATTTTGTCCTTTACTTCACTTTTCATAATAATTTATTCTAGATTCTTGAATAAAGGTTGATTTCATTCCGAAGAGAGGAAAACAGATCAGCTGGTACAATTGTGGCCCTACGGTTTATGACGCGGCACATCTTGGACATGCCAGGTAAATGTGGAATTAAAATTGAAATATGGCAGTACTTT